AAACACCAAAGCCAGCCCTTTCTACTTCTCTCTTTTTTTAAGATTGATTGACTGATTTATCAGAGAGAGAGAGCCAATGTGCACAAGCAGGGGGAGCGGCAGGCAGAGGGAGAAGCAGGCTCCCCGCTGAGCAAGGAGCCCGATGCAGGACTCAATCCCAGGACCCTGGGATCGTGACCTGAGCTGAAGGCAGATGCCCAACCGACTGAGCCACCCAGGCGCCTATCTACTTCTCTTTCTATTCATGTCAGAGCTGAGCTATTCTTTGTTTGTTTGTTTGTCTTTTATTTATTTATTTTTTTAAAGTTTTGTGTTTTTTTTAAGATTTTATTTATTTATTTGAGAGAGAGAATGAGAGAGAGAGAGCACGAGAGGGAAGAGGGTCAGAGGGAGAAGCAGACTCCCCGCCGAGCAGGGAGCCCGATGCGGGACTCGACCCCGGGACTCCGGGATCATGACCTGAGCTGAAGGTAGTCGCTTAACCGACTGAGCCACCCAGGCGCCCTGTTTGTTTGTCTTTTAAAGATTTATTTATATGTTAGAGAGAGAGAGCAGGAACACGAGCAGGAGGGACAGAGGGAGAGGGAGAGAGAATCTCAAGCAGACTTTGTGCTTAGCTCAGAGCCCCACACAGAGCTTGATGTCACAACCCTGAGATCAAGACCTGAGCTGAAACCAAGATTTGGACACTTAACCAACTGCGTCACCCAGGCGCCCCAGAGCTGAGCTTTTAGAAGAGCATTCTGTAGCCCTGTGTTTACCTCCTCCACCCCTGTAAGCTGGCCTCTGCCGTCATGCCTCAGTTACCACCCCCAAAGGTTGCTTGTCCAGCCCTCACCTCCTGGACCTGGTTGGGAGATCAGACACTGGGTTCCAGATTCCTCAGTGAAAATCTCTCCTCCTTCAGGTTCCTGGATTCTATTCCTGCATCTCCCTACCTTTCCACACACCCCTCATGCCATCCCATGTCCCCATGGATGCTGTTCTCTAGGCCCCCGAAGATCTCTCCCAGTGCCCCCTTCTTTGCACAACTTTCAGGTGACCCGTGAGGCTCCTCTCAGGTGTCCCCTCCCCAGGAAACCTTGGCTGATCCCACCCACAGTCCCTGGACTTACCTCTCTAGCATAGTGCAACCTTGCATTCTGGGGAGTGCATCCCTCCCCTGCTAGAGCTTAGGTCCTCACAGGCAGGAACCCCCTGTCGTTCACCTCTGGGTCCCCTGATTAGGGTGAAGAACCTGATTCTGAACCAGCTCTTGCTAAGACTGTGTGCCCCTGGAGCTGGAGAGCTGTGTGTTTGGAAGCAAAGGGGCAGCTAGGACCTGTGCATGGGATCCTGAGCTCCCAGAACAGGCAGGAGGCCTGCATATTGCTGGGTTGTGGGCAGGGGGTGGGGGGAAGCTGTTGCAGAAGGTGGAGGGGCTGTCAAATCAGGCCTGCTCCCAGCAAGTGGCAGCAAGGGCCACCTCTAATAAGCCCCATAAGGGCTCAGTAAATGTGTGTTGAATCAGCTGAGAGGCGTCTGTGCAGACTTAGCCATCATGAGAGGCATGAAGAGCCCTTGAATTCTCACTGTTAGTAAAGATAATTTGGCAGGCAGAAGAGAGGGAGGTTGCAGGAGCAGCTTGTAGAGCGAAGCACCCAGCTGCAACAGAACAAGAAGTAGTGGCCTGACAGTTTCAGGTCAAGTGCAGGGCTCTGATGGCTTCTGGGAAGTGAGGGGAGCCAGGCCCTTTCCTGTCTGCAGAACCAGAGCACTCTCCATAGTAATGGGTGGTACACACCCACATTATGATGGTGAGGCCATCATAGAGGCCAGGGGTGGCGTTAGGGTGACCAGCTGTCCCAACTTCCCTGGGACTGGGGGATTTCCAAAGAAACGACACTTTCAGTGTGCAAACCAGGACAGAGCCCCGGGCAAACTGGGACAGTTGGTCACCCTTGGTGGCATTGGAGGGAGGCTCAGTCTCAAGCAGGGCTCCCTTCCCCTCTGCTATTTAGAGCACAGGAAATCAAGGGGGCATCAGTCTGAGTTGCAGCCCCATCAGGATGTGCCAATGGGGCTATGGGTTTATATCAAGTTTGTGGGTGGAGGGCTGCCTGGAGGTGGCATGGGTTGGACCCTCTTCTCTCTTCTGGAGGACTTAGCCTAAAGGAGTTGGGTCCCAGCTCTGGTTTGGGGGTCACTGTGTTTGGCAGGGGTGCTGTGAGGGTTAATGGATGTATTAACCTTCTATAAGGGCCAAGCCTTATGTGCAAGCTGCAAGGGAGATATGCAATAAGCCTGGAATTATCCTGAGCTGTTTTGCCACAGCATAAAACATAATGATTGCTAGCGTGGCTCTGCGACCACGGGCCCCAGGGATTTCAGGGCAGTTTTTACTTCAGTGTCAGCATTGTTTTGTTTATTTATTTTTCATTGAGAATAAATTCACATCACATATAATTTGCCATTTTATTTTAGTTTTTTAAGATTATTTGGGAGTGAGAGCACAAGTGGTGGGGGGGCAGAAGGAGAGGGAGGGGGAGAAGCAGGCTCCCCACCAAGTGTGGAGCCCCATGCGGGGGCTCGATCCCAGGACCCCAAGATCATGATCTGAGCCGAAGGCAGACGCTTCACTGACTGAGCCACCCAGTCGCCCCTAGAGCATTTACGTTTGAATAATAGTGAGATGCATGATTTGCACGTGGTCTTGATGCCACACACTTTACTCCCGCCCAGGGCTCTGGGGTCTGGGGTCGAAATTCTGCGGTTTCTGATCTGAGAGAGAAAGTGCATCCCACCATGGCCCTTACAGAGGAGGACGACTGGAGCTTGCACCTGGCCTCTCCAGACAGCTTTCTGTGAGCCAGGCTTTGCCTGTGATGCTCGTCCTTACTTTCATGCTGTATTGTATTCTTCTCCTGTAATAAACTCTACATTTATAAGCATTGTCATGTTGGGTCTCTGGATCTTCGGTAGCAAGCCAACCCTGTTTTCACTACTGGGAGCTTGAAGTAGGGGAGTTGTGCCTGCTTCTTGTCTGGAGATTTGGGGGAGCAGGGAGACTGTAGAACTAAGCCACGCCAGCGTGGTATGAAAGAGCTGTAATGTGCCATCTAGACATGAGGCATCTAGACATATAGACCATGAGAGAGGTGCAAGGTCTGTCTGATTCCAAAGCCCATGCTTTTGATGACTTCTCTGTACTGCCCTTTCTCTCTTCATTAGGGATTCCTGTCACAAAGGAAGGCTTCCCATTTTAAGCCTTGTCTCTCTTCTTGGAATTGGGTCTTGGCGTGTTTTTCCTTCCTTCCTCTCTCCTTGCCTCCCTCTCTTGATTCCCTGTCTACTCTTAGTCCTTCTCCCTTCCTTTCTTCCTTTCCTCCCCGTTTTGCTTCTTTCTTTCCTTCCTTTCA